ACAGTTCTTGGTATAACACTTATTCAAATCACCTTACGTTTGAATACTGTCAAAGAGTTTACAGTTCCTAAAACCTGTAAACAAAATAAAATGGTGTTAAAAAATATATCTTCATGAAACAAATGTTCTGATTCCCATGTGTCATTTTCCCACACTTATTATAGCACTTCCTAGGTGTCAATGTCCTAAGAATGTTACAAATCGTATATAACTTATTTAATCCTTATGTCATCACTCAGATATAGATACTGTCATTATGTCCATTTTATAGACAGGGAAACTGAGCCACAGGGAGATCAGGTAACATGCCCAAGGTCACATGACTAATCATCTCACAGCCAAAACATGAACGCAGGCATCAGACTCTTGTGTCCATGCACTTGAATTCTGGGTCTGCTGTCTTGTCTGTATTAATGATCTAATGGAAAGTCAGTGGAGAGGTAATACTTGGGGATGACATTAAACCGAGAGGTTTTTTGATGAGGTAAGAGTCTCACTTGGAATCAGTGTAGTGATGTGGGGGACCACAGATACTGGAGTCAGATAGTTCTGGGTTCAAACTCACTGTACTGCTTACTGGATGTGTGTCCTTGATCCATCATTTCAGTCCCTGTGGCGGTGCTATACCTCCCACCCTTGGTGGGGCCAGGGCCTCAGACCCCAACTTTGGGGTTGACCATGTGACTTGCTGGCCACCAGAAGCAGGTACTCCAGGTGGCCACTGGTCTTCATCAGTGCCCTGCCTCAGTTGGAGTGGAGCTAGCCCAGCTACAACCTGGAGGTGTCTGAGTGAGGCGTAAATACTCACCACTGTATGTCTCACTCACACCTGCTGCTTGCTTGTCTATTTCCCTGAGTGTAAAGTGAGGCTAAGTCAGATTTTGTCAACTCTTAAGGGGGAATACAATACCTCTCTCTTAGTGAAGCTGTGAGAACTTACTGAGCTAAGAGTACAGATGAATGTTATGAAGTAAAACTTACTTCAGTTTCTATTGTTAAAGAATTGATAATCAAGTTAGGGTCAGTATTAAACATTTCAGTGTTTATAAAGGGAAGTATGAAATTATGATATACTATGTGTTACTATAATATTCAAATAAGCAATATTTACCCAAGCCCTATTAAGATTGTTTCAAAATTTCTTTTTTTACTAACAATATGTTCTTATCTATGCATTAACATGGGGTTCTTAATATACAAGTACTTTCATGTATTTGAAATTAATAAAGTGCTTTTCTTTTAGAATGGGCTTTTAATTTTATTTTAACCAGCTCAGTCTAACCATTTTAGCCTCCTAAATTCATATGTATATTTTTTCACACTGTGTTTATTTCTCATGTGTAATTTGGCTATATGCAACAATTTCTAGGCTATGTTAGTTAAAACTTTCAAACATTGACATAATCTGGAAAATATTTCCAAAGTATAACATATGCATATCTAATGTAGAGTCTAAATATGGTTTAATGATTTAAAAGAATAAAAAGAGAGGAAACAGATTGTTTAGATGAACTGAACCTTTGCTTGGCTGGCACTTTCCACATATTTAAAAATGAGGTCTCAAGCCAAGGAGAGAGAATGTAGAAATTTTGCATCTTTTTTTAAATTTTGCATCTTTATGCAATGAATCCTATGGGGTATTTAAAAAACAGATGTATAGGGAAGAAAATTTGATCTGTTGCTTTTTTCTGCACTAATTTTAATGGATAGCATCCAAGGGTAATTCTTCCACTCTAGGTTAATTATAAAATGCTGATGAGCCTTTCATGTCATAATTAGTATGCTTTAGCTTATTTTTATCTCTTACCTCTTTGGTCAAAATCTGGTCCATTGGCTTTTTTTTTTTTTTCAATGTGTTAACTGCAACTTTAATTAGTCTGTAATTATAGCGGTGCTATTGGGGATCTATTCTACAAATAAATCACATAAATTGTAGCAAGATGGAGGGTTGCCAGCATATTGATAATGGTGTGCTTATAAGCCAGGTCTTTGATGGGCAGTGTTGGCCAGTTTCTATGGTATAAATATTTCCACTGTGGCTGATGTCAAGCTACCCATCCTTTGACAGCTTCCTCTCAGAATTCTAAATAGGTAACAATAAACTTCTGTAAGCAAGTTCAACCCAGCACACAAATAAACCGCTAATTCTTACATACTGGACAATTATGTTGGAATAATGATACTTGTTAATTATCCTGCAGTACCTTCACTCAACTGCAACTCATCCATTAAGAGAGAATCTTTATGTAAGTCTGTTAAGGACCCTTTAGAACAGAGATTATAATCATTTAAGTCATAGACTACTTTGAAGAGCAAATCAAAGCTATACATTTTCTCGACAAGTGAAAAAGTACACTCTAAGAATTATGACTGTGATTTCAGGGGATTCTTGTGCCTCCTGAAACTTTTCCATGGGTCTCAGATTAATAATCGCTGCTATCTCTTTGGGCCAAACTAATTTGGCAAGCAACATTCTGAATATCTTTGCTTCTGTTCACTAAGTTTGTAAATCACTAGAGAGCTCAGAAATCACTATGTCATTCCAGTAGAGTTGAATTGCCAATACTTTGTTAACTGTGTTTACTATCTGGCCTCTTCTATCATTATCCTAAAATTCAGGGATCACAAGGAACTCGAGAGATGATGAGGTGCACTACTGAGTAACACTGAACAATTTAAGTTTTAGTCTCTCCCTTTATTCTACTAATTTTGTGTCAACTATTATATAAGGTAACTCTAGGACTTCAACTTTCATTGAAGGAAATATTCCTTATATTATAGGAAATATAGCTTCCTGCATGTATATATGTGCATATGTATGTATGTTTTTATAGACAAAACCTTAACGCTTTCCCCTCCTTTTTAGTGTAACGCTTAGTTAAACCTATTGCTCTCTGACTTGATCAAACACTGTTTTTTTATATATAGTTCCACAGCGCTTATGTTTGGATTTTGTGGCACATTTCATAATTAGATTTAAACAATTTTGTGATGATTTTCAAAAATAATCATTTCTTCTACTAGGTAAATAATTTAAAGATCAGGTGATGCCACAATGCACATTACCTAATGGGCTCTGAAAATTTGTTGAATGAAAGAATTATTAATCATTTTTTGATTTTTACATCTTTAAGAGAAGAAAGAAAAATGCTGATTTTAAAAGAGACTAAAGTTTTAATCAAACAACCAGATTACTAGCTTCAGTTTTAGTATTGTTTCCTTTGGAGTTGATGTTAAAGATAGTAATTGTACTAGACCTTCAGAAGTCAAGAAAGAAACTAAATTGTCTGTTTTTTTGAGGTTTTTCTTTGGTTGAGTCTTTTCATCTTAATCCCTAAATGGCCAGAGAATTTTTGCTCACCAACATAAACTATCACTAAGAATTCAGATTCATTGAAGTTGGCTTATAATTAGCTAAGAGATTTAAAAAATATATTGAATTACTTTGAAGATGACTGTTCAGTTAGAAAATAATGTCAGAGACCAATATCCTCATTTATTAGTAGAATGGTCCATTCAATTTGGGGAAAATTCAGACTGAAAGCTGGAGCTTGCATGTTTCAGCATCAGTAAGGCCTGGGGCAGAGAAGAGTCTCCTGACAGCAGGCATGCCATTATAATCACAGCTGATTAAATGGCCAATGAAGGTCAGATGTCCCTGTCAGAAACAGAATCTTGGTCTTTCAGCTCTTTCTCATGGTTTCCTGTGGAGCCATTTTTTGGCTCACTACATTGGAATGTGAGGTCAACTTATTTACTACATTTTTATTGTGATTGTAATATCGTCAGGACTCCAGTAACAGCAAAAAGGAACACAGGATACTTCATTTCTTTGACAAATTTACATTCTAGCAAGGAAGAATATAAATCATGGAAATACAAAGCAGGCTGAAGGAAAAGCTTAAGATACATAAACTGATAGAAAAGTCAGATTATACTCCTATTTGAATAAATCAAGCAAGGCTTCATGGAAGAGGTACCCCAATGAGCTAGATATTGAAGAATGGATAGGATCACATCTGATGAAGATTGGAGGTATAGAGAGCATTCTGTAAGCAAACATATGCAGCTAGGGAAACTGGGGTGTGACTTCATAAGAGCAAATAAATGAACTTGAGTAGAAATGCATAGTAGTTGTGATGATGCAATGGCGGCCACTATAGGAGTAATGAGGGCTATAGAGGCAATGAAGGATTCAGTAGGAAAAGTCATGAGTTTGAGGCCAGTAGTTATCACTTGACTTGTCCTTTTTATGAGACAGTAGACATACATGTCTTTATGACACAAGTTAATAGAAATCCAGGTCTAGACCAAATGATGAAAACAAGTAGTATAGGTTGACTCTTTGGACTTTCCACCATATTCTCTTTCTTCCCTTTCTTCTTCAAGTGGAACTTGTATCTGATTTCATCCCTGGTGAGGAATGACTGATAATGACTTGTGGATCATTAATAGAATGGTGGGAATAATAATTCTGAAGAGCATTCTTATGTTACCAGGACTCTTTAAGTCAAAGGCTTCAGGACTCCAAGGAATCTCATTGTAATTGAACAGTATGAAGCAGGGTAGACAGATTGCTGTGGAAGAACTGGCATGGGCCCCTCAAATTACATTAATAGCATTTCCATGTCTCCCTCTGTGGCTCATAGGGACCACTGGTTGTAAGAATGGCAGCCTGACTCAGAGTGTGAATAGCAAGACAAATCATTCCCAATTGTGAGAATGACTCAAAGTATAGGTGCTATGATTTGTTAGTCATGCTCTTTTCATGGACTAGTGAAGGACATGAAGCAGTTAAGACAGTGGAAAGCTAACTAAAAATCAAGAGGTTCTGGGTTTTAAATCAAGATTTAAGTAGCAATTTTCACATTTGTTGGGGGAAGAGCTAGAATTGGATATCTAAGTTCCAAGAGTCATTTTACCTCTTTAATATCATATAAGAAGGCATAAATTATGGGATATCCCCCCACACCTCCAGAGTACAGAACCACCCAGGGATGTCAACTCTTTGAGAGTTCCTTTCTCAGTGCCTGTCCAGTACAGAGGGCTGTGGGAAGGTGAGAGCTGAAGACGGACAGCTGACAAGGGAACTGGGGACCTGCATCCTCAGTCAGCTCCACAAGGTGACATTCTGTCAGGAAGATGTTCCGCTGCACAAATGGCCCTGGTGAGTGGTTATGGGAGTGCTGCTGTTGGCAGGAAGGAGGGATCACGGTCCGGAATGCTGCTTGGAAGCGGTGAGAGAGCAGATTGTAGATAATGGGGTTGACCGCTGAGCTCAGGTAGAAGAAGACACCTGGAATGCAGAGGGTTAAGAGACAAGCTGAGGAAAAACTGAGGGGGAGGCACCACATGGAGAAACATAAATATTTAATAAAGGTCTCAGGTCCCTTTGATTGCCTCTTTTGGAAGTGATAATATATACAAGACTCTAATTGAGAATACAAAATGCTCTGAACAGATCTACCACCTGTGTACTTTAGGAATCAAACCTAGGAAGATTAAAGAGTCTTGGAAAAATTTAAGCTGGCATGGGATCTCTCTGAGATGTTCAGCAACTTCCTTTGATCCCCACTTGTTTAATTAAAGAACATGTTCCCATAGCATTAATGAGAGATGCTTAAGTATCAGAGGAAAGAGATGTTTTTATCTTATGCTTCAATCTATCATTTGAAACTGAAAGTAATGGAGGAATAGTAAATCAGTCAAGGCATAATCTCTGTTAAGACTCCTTATGATGCCAAATAGCTCTTCAAAGAAGCATTCCCCAGTGTCCTTTTCCTGCCAATTCCTTCCCCCTGATGGCTCTTCCCACCTTATTTCCAACCTTAATGAATTCTTGTATTGTTTTCCATTTGTTTTCTCCACCAAATGCCTTACACACTGCCATTTTCTTGGTTGATACACACTTTCCATTTATCACCATATCCTATTTTATTTCCCCAAGGCCCATGGGAGCCTGAAGAATCAGAGGACTTAAGTTTCTGATCTTGGCCCTTGCTTATTCTGTGACCCTGGACAGAACTGGCACTTCAATTTCTTGTTCTTTGTAAAATGGGGATGATAATACTATTTTAACCCACCTCCCTGGTTTATTGTGAGGATAAAATTGAGGTACTGTCCACAAAAGGGTTGGGAATAAGAATATAAAACAAGTGATAGATGCTATCCTCAATACATTCATTGTCATTCTCATTTATATAGTCCAGGACACATAGAAGGCCATTTGCCTGTGGACAGAATTGGGCACAGAGGAATGTTGTTGTTTAGTCGCAAATTCCTGTCTGACTCTTTTGAGACTGTATGGACTACAGCCCGCCAGTTTCCCCTGTCCATGGGATTTCCCAGGCAAAAATACTGGAGTGGGTTGTCATGCCCTCCTCCATAGGATCTTCCTGACCCAGAGATCTAACCCAAGTTTCCTGCACTGCAGGGAATTGTTTACCACTGAGCCATCTAGGAAACCCAGGGAAGAATGTCTGTGGACCTGTGGGGGAGGGGGGTGCATTTCTGTACACTGTTAATTTGTTCAATAAAGAAATACTGATCGAACTTTTATTATGTGACTTTGAGGCACACTGGAAGGTAGTGGATTTAGACTTTGTTCTCCAAGGATTTAGAATAGTATTACAGAGATAAGATTTATGCCTGATTTCAGTAATTAATAAGAGGATGATAGCTAACAATATCTGTTAAGAAAAGAGCAAAATTTGATACTAAGAGTCATGTTATGGAAATTCACGTAAGCACAAGAATTCTAGTGGTCATGACAGATCACCTCCATAATACTCGGGGTGACTGGACTCTAACCAGACCATGCAATGGGTAGGAGGCATTGGGGCAGGGAGGAACGGGTCTCAAGAGAGGAGTGGGAGAGAAGGCGCAGCGTGCACCACTGTGCTGAGGCGGGAGCAGTTATTGTGCAAGAATAATGCAGGATGGCAGAAACCCTTAATTCACCGACTTGGAAGTATATGGCTTATGAATTGAAAAGACTATAATCTGAGGGTCGGAAGGCAAGTTGGGGGCGTTTTGGGCATAGCATTTTAAGAGGTTTAGATATCATCTGGTTGGTAGGGTCGGGGAGGGAAAAATTATATCTTAATAGGAAAATGTTATTGTGTTGTAAATGCCACAACTTGGGAATCTTAAAGTGGTTGTCTTGATGCCTCTGGAGAAGTGTAATCAACTAGTGATTACATGTGATCTTGTGTGTTTTCCAATTTTTTTTTAAAGAATAATTTATCTTATTTAAAACACTTTTTTATCGAAGTATAGTTGATTTACAATCTTGTGCTGGTTTCAGGTGTAGAGCAAAGCAAATCAATTATGCATATACATATATCCTTTTTTAAAAAATTCTATTCCCATATACACCTCTACAGAGTATTCCATAGAATCCCTGTGCTACACAGTAGGTCCTTATTAGTTGTCTGTTATATCTATAGTAGTGTGTTTATTATTTAAACACTTCCATTTCTCAGACAAACCACAAAGATCAGAGCTATAAACATTTTTGAGATATTGTCCAGAATAATAAATAGTTTAACATGGAGGAAGGTCCTAATGTTCAGGTATAGGCTGTACACAAGCCCTGCTGAATAAAAAAAAGTGGTGGTAGAAAACAGATAATATATATGGTATTCAGTATACGTATGAATGTTATTGCTCTCTGCACATCTGGACTTTAATTTTTACCAATTGCTCTTATCTTTCCTCCATAATGATGTCTTTGTCTTTGATGAAGAGCTTGTAGAATCAGCCAGTGACTAGAGGAGGTAGAGGGATAAAAGTGGTCTGAACTTAAGGCTAACAGTTACACTAACTGAGAAAGAAAGACTTGGGGGGCCATCCTTCACCCCATTTGAGAGGAAGGAACCCTGAACTTGAAGTTAGGTGGCTCAAGCCTGAATCTTAATTCTACTATTTGCGCATTATCTTTGGACAAGTCATTTCTTTTTTGTAGAACTGTTTCTTTAACAATAAAATGTTGATGATAATGTTTACTTTACGAATTTGTGATAGTCGTAGACAGATATACTATAGTTTTAAAAGTTCTTTAATAGCTATTATTTTATTTGCTTCTTACCGTCAGCCTGTGGGCTTTCCAGGTGGTGCTAGTGGTTAAGAACCCACCTGCCAATGCAGGAAATGTAAGAGATGCAGTTTGATCCCTAGATTGGGAAGATCCCCTGGAGTAGGAAATGGCAATCCGCTCCAGTTTTCTTACCTGGAAAATTCCATGGACAGAGGAGCCTGAAAAGCTACAGTCCATGGGGTCACAAAGAGTTGGACATGACTGAAGTGACTTAGCATGCATCAGTCTATGGTGTGTATAGAATAGGCATTATTGCCGTATTATAGTTGAGGAAACTTGGGAAAGAAGGAATCCATGTTTTGCATATTGCTAAGAATATTAATGGTACTGAGATCCAAATCCAGGCCCTCTGATTCAGCAACCTTTCCACCACTCTCCACCATAGTCTATGATGTCCTTAATGAGCAGCATTAAAGTGGCCTAAAAGCAGAAATTGATGCCCCATGAATGCCCTTTGGCTGGCTTTCAGGAGGATGTAACACTTGCTGAAGACAATACCAGGTTTCAGGGACACATGGATGTTTAATAAAATAGAAACAATTAACTCCCATGGCCATTGGCAGAAAAACCAAAGGAATCATTCCTTAGACCATTTTCCTCCTGTGATCATCATGTTTAGAGTTGAGGGTTTTCATAAAATAGTGTCTAAAGTAGTAATATGGTATATTTCTTTTGAGTCAGTAACCTATTTAATCAATATTTAATACTTAATAATATTTAAGTATTAAATATTTAATATTTAAATACAATAAAAATCAAATGTCTTCATTATATGTATATATGCATGGCAAATCTCCATGATACATTGGTATATACAGATAGAACCTACTTGCTCTAAGCAAGATGAAAAAGTTGCAACTACCTGAATACTTGTGATGCACACAAAGGATCTATACTTTTACCTGACACCACATGGATGAGATTAAACACAGCAGCCAGAGGTTCAGTCCACTCCTCCACAAAGCTGAAGAAGAGCCGATCGATGTGGAATGGGGCCCAGCAGATAGCAAACACTAACACCAAGACAACTGGAAAAGGAGGATGAAGGGGAGAGTAGAAGGCAGTCAGAGCAAGAAGAGGTATACAACTCCCTCTGAGTTCCTGCTAGCATTTGCCCTGCATCTTTGTTAAATTATACTTCCTAAAGGTCACTAGATCCTACAGAACTTCTACACAGAATATGTAAACATAAGAATGAATTTTATAGGATTGAGAATCAGTTTCCCAAATGGTTGTACAAGATTTCTTGTATAATGTAAGTTTCCTTTACGGTATTAAAATAGTATTGAATGCATTCAAAGTTCTGAAAACATTCTACTATGGAACATAAATTATTGCCAGTAGACTGTTGTAACCACATAAACTGGATATATAAGTAAAATGATTGTGCTCAAGCAAGTCCATGTTCTTTGAAGTTATAGATTAATAAACTATGAAGTGCAGTATGAATTTATATTGTTATTCTAGAAAAAATAGAAGCTTTTATGATTTTAATCATTTAAAATTCTGCAAGAAGTCAGGGAAAAGAGAAAGATTGAACAACCATGAACATACTATAAGCATCTCTGGATTGGAATGGGGATGTGTCTATTATAAATTGCTAGGGCACAGAATTCCTTCCAGTTGCTTTATGTTTGTTTTTACTTTTTGTTTTTAAATTATTACAGATTCACAGGAAGTTGCACCTTCTAGTTTCTTATTTTCAGCTCCCCAGACAGAGATTGGTGCTACCAGAGTTTCTCTATAGAGCATTTAATCTCCATAATATAAATATGTATGATTTTTCTTCTCTCCTGGAGTTGTAAAATACTTTTCCTTCCTTTTCTTTTGAGATCTACTTCAAAATAATCTTGTAGGGGCTAAAGGAGAGAGAGAGATGTAGAGGAAGCAAGATTAGCTATGCACTGATAACTTTTAAAGCTGGATGATGAGTACTTTGGAGTTCACTTTACAGTTCTCTGAACTCATGAGCATATTTGATGTGTTTCATAGTAAACAGTACATATGTTTCCCATTGGTACTAAACATACTCAGAGTAAGTTGTCTGCCTGCTTTATGTGGTTTCAGGACTGTTTGAAAGATTCTTCTGAATTTACCCTTGAAGAAAATGGCCCTAATCTGCTTACTACTGTCTACAATTTCCTCTAGTTAAAAATTTTAATTCCTGTTAAAATTAAACCCTCTACTTGCAAAAGGCAAAGGGTTAACTGTATTTTATCATTGTAACTTTAATGTGAGTACACTTCAAGTCTCCTAGTGAAAGATTATGTTCAAAAAGGAAGGGAGAGAAATACTGAAGGGACTAGATTGCTTGGTAGAGAAGGTCAGGTGCTAACAGGTGGTAAACAATTTCCAAGATGATAAGTAGAGCTGAAAAGACATATTTTAGTGACCTCACAGGTTTTGTTGTTGTTGTTCATATATATTACATAGTTGCAGTGAATGTTTCATATGCATATTATCCTGGAAGATTTTTTTATTCTAAACCTCATATTTTGAGTTGGAAAGTATATCACAAACCTCCTTTCTTTAATTGATCAGTATCTTGTTAGACTAGTGCTGGATCTTTTATTTTTATAACATTCTTTTGGGAGATTGTGGATCAATGCCTGGATTTGTTTTAAAATCTTATCTATATGAGAGAGAGAGTACTGTTTATACAAAACCATGCAATGTCATAGGAGGAATGACTGCTTAGAATATTCTTAACCAGTTGTTCTTATTCTGGAAATAAAAGTTTTCATGTAATGTCTTCTGAGTGGAAAACTCACTGTTTCCATAATACTTTTAAAGAAACTCATAATACAAAATAGGTTAAGAACCACCTGCTCATTTTAAAAGGGAAAAGAGATACTCAAAGGCTCTGAAAGTGGGTATGATTTACCAAAAACTGAACAGAGTGTATTATAATGGATGCAGTTTAGTGTGTTGTTCTGAGGTCTTTAAAACAGAACAAAATAAGCAGGCCCCAGATGCTTGAGTAGGCCATGGAAGAACAGGACATGATATTTTGCTTGAAGAGAATTTTGATCTGATACCAGCAACACTTAGTCATACCAAATATAACTGTTTTCCTTCAACAAACAAACAGTTACAAAATAGAGGACTCACACAGCATTTTAGTGACTGATTTTCTGGATGGTCTTTGAATATTTGCAGTCACTTTATCTGCCTCAAGGTGTTGGTCTTTCTTCAGCTGCAAGGGAAATGCAAAGAGATATAAAGAAAGGGAAATGGTTTTTCCTCCCATTAAGATTTAAGAAATAGGAGTCTAACATTCATTTTGTAAATTAAGAAAAAAAAAACTAAAAGAAATATAAAGTGAAAGTGAAAGTCACTCAGTCATGTGCAGTTCTTTACAACCCCATGGACTGTAACCTGCCAGGCTCCTCTGTCCACGGAATTCTCCAGGCCAAAATACTGGAGTGGATAGCCTATTCCTTCTCCAGGGGATCTTCCCATCCAGGGATGGAACCCAGGTCTCCTGCATTGCAAGTGGATTCTTTACTGTCTGAACCACCAGGGCAGCCCAAGAATACTGGAGTGGGCAGCCTATCCCTTCCTTCTCTAGAGGATCTTCCTGACCGAGAAATTGAATTGGGGTCTCCTGCATTGCAGGTGGATTCTTTACCAGCTGAGCTACCAGGGAAGCCCCAGAGAAATGTTAAGAATTAGCTAAATGTTTAATAATTAGTTGTAGGTGGAACTGGACTCAGGTCACCTAACTCAACTGTATTGATGGTTGTGGCCAAGTTACAGGCAACCATTTGTCCTATGGGCTTCCCTGGTGGCTCAGAGGGTAAAGCATCTGCCTGCAATACAGGAGACCTGGGTTTAATCCCTGGGTCAGGAAGATCCTCTGGAGAAGAGAATGGCAACCCACTCCAGTATTCTTACCTGGAGAATTCTATGGACAGAGAAGCCTGGTGGACTACAGTCCATGGGATCTATAAGAGTCAGGCACGACTGAGTGACTAATACTTTCACATTCATTTAACCTATACTATTCTGTAAAACCGTTGTTTTGTAGTTTATTAATAGACATTCCATGAAAAAAAAATTCCTAAAGTTAAAAAGTTAGACTTTTCCATTCATTTATTATATACTTATTAGACATCTATTAGGATGAAACCCCTCTGCTATGAGATGGATAGGCAGTAGAAAACAGAAACAGGTATTATTTCTGCTTCATGATCTTTATAGTCTTTATTGTGGGTCTTCTTTGAGCCTCAAAATGCTAATAGGTATAACTCATCCTCACGGGAGAGAGTGTATCATCTTTCTTCCACCTCCACCTTCCACATCCCACATCTCCTATCCTCTCAGGGGATAGTGCTTCTTAGACTAAACAATACCCTTCCCAACCCTTTTCAGTGGAATACCTGGTACCATCTTGAGAAGCACAATTTGGCAAACTCTGTTTTACAAATAACTATCCATAAAGGCTCATATGTTTCTGAGTTTAGATGTTAAAATAACTTCTCCTTACTGGCAGATACGGTGATCTGTAAAGTAGCATCTGAAATTTTCAAATATTAACATTTCCTGTACATACAGCCTCTCTCACCCAGTTAAGTGCCATCTACTCCTGGGAGACTTTTGTGGCAACTGTAGACCATTACCACTTTCTTCCTCTGAACCTCAATAGCACCGAAGATCTACATCATTTGTCTAGTTGTGAATTTTTTTTTCTCTTTCTGTATTTCAAGTTTGTGGGGATGTTCAGCCAGCTAAAAGAAGCTTTAAGGACTCATAATAAACTACTATCAAATATCTAGAAGATAGTATAGTGGTTATTCTCCCTTCTCTTAAAAATAGTGCCCTGATTTTCCTTTAGGGAATATATTCATCCTCCAGATCATAGTCATTAATTTGGATCTGAATGATCCCATCTCTGGATACAGATTTGCTTTTGTTGTTTCTGTTTAGTTGCTCAGTCATGTTCGACTCTTTTGCTACCCATAGACTATAGCCTGCCAGGCTCCTCTGTCCATGGGATTTCCCAGCAAGAATACTGAATTGGATGACCATTTCTCCAGGGATAGAACCCATGTCTCCTGCATTGGTAGACAGGTTCTTTACCACTGAGCCACCAGGGAAATCCCAGAACCACATTCAGTCCCTATATAATTTAGGTGTCATCCTTCAGTCAGAGTGGTTAGATGATTGAGACCAATGAGATTTCAGATACTTCCTTATACTTTTAGGAATGAAAGTTTCATTCCTCTTTTATTGGAACTGCCAGGGAGAGTTGTTTGCTTCTTTGTTTTTTTTCCTCCTCACCATGAGGAATGTGCTTGGGGCCACCAGTGGGCTGCTATGCAGATTTCGAGGTTGAAACCCACACCACAGACAGAAGAGCAAAGAAACAGAAATAAAGCTAGATCCTTGCTGTCACTGTGTGTCCTACTAGATTAATCTTCCCCAAGAGCCAGCTCTCCCTCTGGATTTTTCAGGTCTGTGCTCCATCTTGTATTCAGTCAGATTGAGTTGGAGTTTCCTCTTCGCAGTGTGGAAAGTCCTGACAAACTGAGGCCATCAGTGGGAGGAAAATTCAACCTGTTTTATAAGCTGTGTAGATTAGGATCAATTGATTGAGTTATAAGGAGACATATTTCAGTTCCAGCTAAAGAAGAAATTAGTGTGGTCTATGTAACAATGGAACAGACTTAGACTTCTATAATAATCAGTGACCTTCCTGGGCTAGATGGTGTTTTTACAAAGTATTTTAGAGAAGGTATTTAAAAATTAAATAAGACTTGGAAGAAAGGATCATTAAAAGTTGCCTCCAAAGTTCAACAAATCAATATCCTATCTTCCTAAAAGACAGATATGCTCGTCAAAGTCAGGTAGCTCTCCAAGCTGCATTGCCCTGAAGTATCTGCGTGGATGATTAATAAATCTGGCCATCTTGAATATATTGGTGTTCTCTACATATTCCTGTGCCTTCAGAAAGTAGGGGACTAAGGTTCCATGAGATTTGACCCTTTGCAGTCATCTAGGACTTGGAAAGAAATAGGGGGAAATATTGTGAAGTTATTAGGAATAAATGAGAAGGAACTAAAGATGATAAGATGTTATTTATATAAGAATAAGGGCTTCCCAGGAATATAAGAGTAAAACAAAATAATGCAGGTAGAGTTCTTAACTCAATGGCTGGCACATGATCCTCAGTAAATTATATATTGTGATTCTGGGAGTTCCCTGGTGGCCTCGTGGTTAGGATTCTTGGGCTTTCACTGCTGTGGTCAGGGTTCAATCCCTGGTCAGGGAACTGAGATCCTGCAAGCCATGTGGTGTGGCCAAAAGAAAAAAAAATCATGTATTGTGATTCTGATTATTGTCCTGAGTTTACTCAAAAGGCATAATACATTTTCATGAAATATTTATTTATAGCTGTGGGTCCACTCATCTGTATTATGGAGTCCCTTCTAGAAATTCTTCTCATGGTACCACTCGCCCACAAGCTATACCTGTGTTGACACAAATAATGATCCAGATACATTGAGAAGAGAAACACTTGTGTTTAAGTTTAGAGCAATAAATCAAGCTACAAATCTTTCTAACTCACCTTCAATTAAATCTACTAAAGTTTCTGATTATTTCATACCATTTAAAACATTTGTCCTTATTACAAGATAGTTATTCCATTATTTGATTCCAGTCTATAATCAAGAACAATGAAAGATTATTAAGATCTATTAGTCACTTCCCTGGGTGCATTGAACAGTTCTCATTAGAAACTTTTCTACTCCAGGGAACAGTTTCCTTAAATCAAACAGCTGGCAAATGCCTCGCACAATCCTTTTAGGAACAGGCTTCTTTTTCAGTGTAGTTTGCACTGAAAAGAAAATTCATGTGTGTATCAATCATTACTTACATTTTGGCTTTCTTAGGTTACAGTGACACAACTATTCAACTAGAAGAAGATTAAGAAACAGAATATTTATACATGTTACACATGGTTTCAACAGAATTTGAAGGGGTTAACATAGCAGAATAGAATCCAAACAACTTGTTTAGCCAATATTAAATGCTGCATTATTTCTTGTTGAATAATTTCATTTCCCTTCAGATGTTTAACAAAATATATATTTACCTATTGATTATTCCCACCTACCACTAAACATTAATTTTAAAAGTGAGCTTACAAAAAGAGGAAAGGAAAATTGTCATCACTCTGTAGGAAGTTCAGAAGTCTTGCTACTCCACTCCTTTTAGCTATGTATGATAAAAAGCAAAGGGAGACATGGGATTGACTATCAATCAGATAATCCCAATCAGTTTTTTATATTGATTAAAATCATTTTACCAGTGATTCATTTATATAGTTTATGAGTTCATTTATATAATTTTAGAATACCAAGATATAATTATAGCTTTTGTGTAAGTATCTCCACAATCTGAACAAAATCTGTTTATTAAAAAAAAAATCAGTCTAACCCTGTTTGCCCTGGCTGAATTCTGCTACTATTCATAATACATCCTCTCCAGTTCGAGCATTAATGCTGCAAGCAGGAGATGGGAAGGGACTTGCCCTGGGATTGGCTATTTTCCATCTCCATCATGTTAGAACCATAGAGAGCAGTTCATTGGAGACTTGAGTCCCAGAATGATGAAGTAGCTCTGAGTGGTCAATTTTGAGCACACATATGGCTCCCTTCCTTCTTTCTTGCTCCTGGGATTTCATCAGTCTTGGTTTTCTGCCTTCTGAAGGCATTTGTCCAGACTCAGTCATCTCTTTAGACTTGCCATGAGAATCAGTACTCATCAGAGTTGATCAAATCTTTTTAAAATCTTTCAGATCAAAAAGGCCCTCTGAAATAATATTTCCACGTCTCCTATTTTGAAGTTAGAGAAGCTGAAGTCCAACAATAAAGGAAAGAATTTTGGCTCATTCATTCATTCACTGAGCTTGCAGTCTAGTTGGAGAGGAAGAAGTTAAGGAACCCACAAGTATAGAATTATAAATTGTGATAAATGCAATTGTGGGAAATCACTAGGAATCATGAGCACCTACAGGGGAACCAGGCAGTTAGGGAATCAGGGAGAACTTCCTGGAGGAAGTGTGAGTTAAGTATGACTAAAGGATAAGTGAGAATTAGAAAGGCAAAAAGGATTGTGGTGGTGGGCAGTAGGGAGGTTTCCGGCAAAAATACAGCAAAAGGTGCAAAGGGCTTGAGACCAATGCCACAGACTAGGGTCTACTTTTGACCCCCAGTCTAGAAATCTTTAAATTCCTATAGAAGAGACATTCTAAGCAGATAGTTCCTTTCCAGTGTCCTCTGGGTAACAACTCATCCTTCCTGAGAATAGGATGTTGCATACACAAAGCAAACTAGTGTGGTTTCTTAGCTGTTATCTATCACCTAGTTCCTGAGAACCAGGGAGCAGTAGATTCATGACAACACAGCAAAGTGACACTTAAAGTAATTGTTTGGAAGAGGAATCATGTGTTTCCTATTCAGAGTTAGATAGTTCCTCCAAACTGACTGGAGACAAGTGATTGTTCACTGTTAGTAGAGATTGTATTGGTACATTTGGGGTGCATATTTCTCATGGGGCTCATGGAATCATGCAGAAGTCCTTTCCCCACAGTGCAATGCACAGGGCTTGCTAAAGACATGGTGACTGTGAGCTAGTCTGGTTTGACACATGTCTCTGGAATTACAGGGGCCAGTCCACCAGGAGGCACAGTTCTCTGCCTGATTAGATTTACTCCTGTATACTTAAAACCTGTTCTTCCTCCTTCGACTTTGCCATTCACTTTAGGCACAGTATTTATTTGAAAGGACCACCTGTGGAACACTCATTTTTGACACACAATTTTCTCAGAGATGCACTGAGATGGGAGTATATTAATTATCATATAATACATGGTACCAGAGCCATCTTACAACATAGGATGTGAATGTGATGCCTGTTTTGTTTTCCTTTCATTTATAACTCACATTGCTTCCACTCAAAGATTTCCTTTTCCTTTTCTTAAGGAACCACAGACTGTTAGAGCAATCAGGAGTGCTAATACATAAGATCTGATGTAAACTTCTCATTTTATAAATACAAAAACTAATTCCAGGAGAGAATTGTGTGACATTACCTAAAGGCATCTTATATGTGAGCTTCATACCTGGGAGTCTAAATGGTCTCATGACTATTTCCGGCATAACTACCTCCTTAAATGGGTATGAAACTGTCATGTTTAGCTTTCCTCTCTGTGATTTTGGATGCAGAATATACCAGGAAAGGAATTATATAGACTCACTTCTCCTTTCATTAAAAACAAAACAACAGTTTCAGATAATTTAGATCCAGGAAAAAAAAAATCAGTTTATCACCATGAGCACATGAAGGTAAACTCTAATTATAAAATGTTGCAAACTAAGTAATAATATTCTATTAATTCCAGCTATATATTATTCACACTGTCTTCTAATCTATTTTAGGCACTGTTTACCTCTTTGTCCTTCAAACTCCACTTGTCCAGATTGATCTCACTCAGGCCATATTTTTGCATTTTAATCTGATATTTCCACGAAAGGATCAAAGCAACCACCACAAGGAAGTGTCTGATTTTAAAACTATATATCTGTCTTGGAGTATAAAGTACACAGGAATAGTTTATTTTATATTCAGACCAAGTTGGTGCAGAGGAAAATTTCAGTGCAGGCAAAGCAGGTGAGGGCAGGAAAGAGACCACAGGATATGAAACAGTCTCTCCAGGGGTGGCTGCCTTGTGCTATTTAAAATGAAGATCTATCCCAGACCTACTGAATCAGACTTCTCTGTAGGAAGGGACTCATACATCAGTTCCTATGGTAAAGTTTCAAGGTGATTTGTAGGAATACCTAGGTTTGAGAACTACAGTTACAGAGGGAAGAATGATGAAAGGTGAGTTAAAGGAAATGATTTATAGCTGCGGTTACTGTCTGTCCAACTGAAAGCCAGTCTGTTAACTTCTGAGTTTCCCCTCTGAGTTCACCCTGTTTTTCTCTAAGGTCCCTTCCAGTTCTGAATTTCTCCAGTTCTAAGTGTTTCTCCGAACTTTGAGTCAGAGGAAAGAGAAGGCACGCCACCCTGCGGGTTGCAGCCAGCTTGGATACTCACCTTGAGCCCCATGAGGTAGTAGAGGACACTGATGACCATCATGGGGAGGATGTAGAAGAGGAAGGAGGTGACCTGGATAATGAAATTATAGATCCACATGGGCTTGATGACCGTACAGGTGGCAGAGCCCGGGATGAAGGACCCGTTGGGGAAGTAGTGGAGCTTGATGCCATGGATGCTGGTGTTGGGCAGAGAAAAGAGAACAGAGAGGCCCCAGACGATGCCAAGGATGCGGAGGGCCCGGCGCCGGGTGCTCTTGAGTTTGGCGCGGAACGGGTGGAGGACAGCCACGTAGCGCTCCACGCTGACGGTGGTGACGCTGAGGATGGAGGCGAAGCACACGGTCTCGAAGAGGGCCGTCTTGAAGTAGCAGCCCACCGGCCCAAACAGGAAGGGGTAGTTGCGCCACATCTCATAGACTTCCAGGGGCATCCCGAGAAGCAGGACTAGGAGGTCGGAGACAGCCAAGCTGAAGAGGTAATAATTGGTGGGGGTCTTCATCGTCTGGTGCCGGAGAATCACCAGGCATACCAGGAGATTGCCAACGACTCCCACCACAAAAATCAGAGCATACACCGCAGTCACCGGGAGGAAGAGGTGGCTGCGACGAGGCCCGCAGAGCAAAGCTAGGTAGTCGTCCGTATTGTTCAGGTATTTCTTGAGCGGATCTTCCAGCTCCTGTTGGTAGATCCAGGAAAAATTCTCATGTTTTTCCATCACTGCTATTAAAATACAAGACCTGAGCCCCGTCTGGAATGAGCTTCTGTCCCAAGCTGAGCCAGAAAGGAAAAAAGAAAGCAGGCAGGAAAGCACAGGCTTGGGGAAGGAGGCCCGGAGAGGGATAGTGCTTCGGACACTGCTCAGACCTCAGATCCCTTTTGAAGAGCCCCCGACACAGAAGCCCCGCCCCTTCGCGGGCTGTGGGCCAATGTACTTGTCAGACGTTCAGGGAGAGGACAGCTGGGCGGGGCGTGCGGGTTTCCTGAGCAGGGAGCAGGAGAGGAGGGGAGACGTTTCTCTGAATTGGAAGGAGCTGGGAAAGCAGAACTGTCACAAACGGTGGCACTGAATTACGTAAGGTGTGGGCACTCAGAGCAGTGCATTCTGCAAAGTTGTGGGAATCTGGGTGGAAATAGAAATTGAGGTTGCAAGGTTGTGCGTAGAAAAGTACAAATCTCTGTTGATCCTCGTCACCTGTACAGCATAACAAAAATGGGAGATCAATAGATTTCTCAAGTACCTTGTTCCATTGAAAATTCAGGGCTCCTGGGGGAAAGTGTGATCAGTATGCCTTTTTGGTTTTGATTGCCTCCATGATAGAATCCAACAGCTGCTCATCACCTAGCCCTGCCTGCTGTCTGACACTTCATTTTTAACAGCACCTTGCTGAAGCAAAAGGCAGTAGGATTTAGAATCAGGCACACCTGTAAGAAATTCTGTAAAACTTTGGGAAAGTAACTCAGACTCTCAGATCCACATTTTCTTATCTGTAAACTGGAGAGTCGTGTTATTGTATTCAATAAATACTTCTTGAGGACTTACTGTGTACTAAGGAGTGTTCTAGGCTTTGAAGAAACATCAGTGAACCAACAAGACCAAGTCTCTGCCTATGTGAACTTTTCTTCTAGTAGAGATTTCTGAAAACGTCCAAGCAAACTAATGAGTGAACTAATAGAGTTGCAGATCATAATCTGTGCTGTAAAGAAAAGGGACCATACTAACATAAGGCTATAGGCATTCCTTTTTTTTTTTTTTTAATCAAGAATGGTCAAAGAAGACTTATCTCAGATGTCATTTGGGCTGAGTTCTGACTGATGAAAGGTCAGTCATAAAAGAGCTAAGGGAAGTGTATTCCAAGAAAAAGTAATAGCAAGTACAAAGGTCTTGAGGCAGTAACAAGCTTGATGTGTTTCAAAAACATTAAGAAGGCCAGTGCAGCTGGAACTTAATGAGTGGACAGGAGAATATGAGAGTTTGAGATTGAAATGACTGGAAGGGACCAGATTATATACATTTTTCTAGGATCTGATAATAAGTTTGGATCTTATTTAAACTGCAGGGACTTTGGATCTGGTTCAAGACACAGAGAAATCTTTGGATGGTTTTGAGCAGTAGGGTTGCTCCTGGGAGCAATAATTCCCTTATGTCTCTGGACTGTTCTTGCCCATGGACTGAACGGGCTTCCATATGATGGGTAAGAAAATAGAAGTGCAGAATGAATTCTCAGTGTACCTCTATCAACAGAGGTAAATCTGAACAAGCAAAGGGCTACCCTCTGTAGCTATGGGCCAAAATAAAATACATGGCATTCGTCTAGTGGTGATAGTAGGCAATGACAAAGATGCTATCAGAGGCTGGAAGGATCCATGGGGTGGGGGTGGGGGGCTGATAATTTGTTCTTTAGTTTACAGGTACCTGGAACAGGAGGAGACACATGTAGATGTGATGGATAGAAAACCATGTACCACTCAGAGTTCCTGGACTTTTACAGTTGTGTCTGAATAGGAGTAAAAATCAGGGGGCCAAGGGGATGTGATGTGGAGGTACAAGTGGCATCTATGTAAAGCTTTCAAAAAATACAGTAGCTAATATTTATTGAGCACTTATTCTTCCTAAGCACTATTATGAACATTATGTACACACATGGTTTTCTCACCATCAGATTTATATGTGGCTCCTTTGGTTCCAGAGACCTATAAATTAAAGGACAACTTATCAGCCTCCCCTATGGATTCTTCCAGCCTCTAATAACATCTTTCTCATTGCCACCATCTCATCCTTAAACTAATGCGATGCATTAAAAAAATATTTTTTTATTGAAGTATAGTTGATTTGCAATGTTGTGTTAATTTCTGCTGTATAGCACAGTGACTCAGTTATATATATATATATATATTCTTTTAAAAATATTATGGTTCATCATAGGATATTGAATATAGTTCTGTGTTATACAGGGGACCTTGTTGTTTATCCATTCTGTATATAAAAGCTTACATTTGCTGCCCCCAAACTCCCACTCCATCCCTCCACAAAACTCCCCCTTGGCAATCACTAGTCTGTGCTCTGTGTCCATGATTCCGTTTCTGTTTCATAGATAGGTTCATTTGTGTCCTAATTTGGACTCCATATTTAAGTGGTATCATATGGTATTTGTTTTTCTCTTTCTGATTTACTTCATTTAGTATGATAATCTCTAGTTGCATCCATGCTGCTGCAAATGGCATTATTTCATTCTTTTTTGTGGCTGAGTAGTATTCCATTATATATATGAACCAAATCTTCTTTATCTTGATGGACATTTAGGTCGTTTCTGTGTCTTCACTACTATGAATAGTGTTGCTATGAACTTAAGGGTGCACGCATATTTTTAAATGATAATTTTGTTCAGATAGATGCCCAGGAGCAGGATTTCTGTGTCACATGGTAATTCTATATTTAGTTTTCTGAGGAGCCTTCATACTATTTTCTACAGTGACTACACCAACTTATATTCCCACCAATAGCATAGGAAGGTTCCATTTTTTCCATACCTTTTCCAACATTTGTTCTTTGGTAGCCCGTTGTAGTTTTTGTTTAATGCAATGTATTTTAGAGTTTTTGTTACAGCAGTGCTGTGCTTCCACATCCAGTTTTGAGTTAATAAATTGGACTACATTATGCTGCAGTAACAAACAACACAAACTCTCAGTAACTTTAAACAACAAAAGCTTATTTCTTTTTTGTGTGTGTGCTATGCATTGATGGGGCTGGGGTGAAAAAGCTTTGTAAATAGTCTCTTCATCCAGGATAATACGGGAAAGTCTACTGTTGAAAACACAGTGGTAAGACTGTTGGGAAGACCTGACATGAGGGTGCAGCTTCTCAGTCCCTTCCTTCTGGGGGACTTTTCTTCATCTTTTAACATCTGGCAGTGCTCTGGATATTGAGAATGTACTCAGCAAATGGATTATAAATAAAGAGGTGCAGAAACTAGATTGTCTATGAAGCAATCATACTTGATGAAGGAGTAATTAGGAAAATTGCTCACCATCTCATAAGAAGGTGTTTCTGTTATAGATGTGAGCAATTTGAACACATTTCTCAGAGACTCTGGAGTGAGAACAGAAGCTTGGTTTAGAAAGAGACATAACATTCCCAGTTTTTAACTTTGGCTTTCTCATGGGTCAGGAAGAGCTCATGACCTTGGATAACATTGACAAAAATGTAGTGTGTAAAACAAGGAAGGTTATCATCAATTCTGTTACACACTCATTAAGCCAGACCAAGAGTATTGGCTCTGGTCTTGACTCCTGCTCTTAAAAAGGGATTTAGTAAGTTGACATTGTTTACTGAGGACAGTTGTAATGGTAGAGGGATTTGGAGTTACTGTTCTAGGAAAGAGGAAGCCTGGCTTAGGCATTATTCCTGCCTTCACCTATTTAAAAATGTACATTTTTAATGGAAGAAGAATTTGATTTATCCTAATTCACTTCCTGGGGCAGAACTGAGAGCAATAGCTTGCCAATATAAAGAGGAAGATTTTGAGCATTTGGAGTAGATTACAATGGCAATGGACCACCCATGTCACTAAAGTCACTCAACTAAGGCTGACTGGCCATCTGTTAATATTTTGTCAGGTTATGTCAGTTAGTATTAGTTTACCTTTAAGATTCCTGAAAACAGTCATATTGTGCTGCATATGTGCTATTGCTTACTCAGTATCTCCTCTTGGTATCCAATGTGCACCTCAAAGCTAACATGTCTAAAACCAAGTTTATGCATCATTTTCCCCCTTAAAAAAGTGCTTCTCCTATATTCTCTGTTCAGTGAGTGAATTACCATGTGCTTAGCTGTCCAAGCTAGAGAGATGTGTATTATACTCACTCCACCCTCTCATTTACTCACTATCATCTGATTTATATGCAGATCTTTCCTGTCCATTATACCTTTCTATCTCAAATATATATGCATGTGAATATATGTGTGTATATACATATATATATACACACACACACACACGTATATATATATATATAATCTACTATTCTCCATTCTCACTACCTCTGCCCTCTTCCAGGCCACCATCATCTCTCCACTGGATTTCTAGCTGGTTCCCCACTTCTACTTTGCTCTGTCTGCTGTCCCGTCTTATCTTGTAGCTAGAATAATGTTTCTAAAATGCGTATATGACCATATATTTCTTCTATTTCAAATCCTTCTAGGGTCTCCATTGCCTTAATATGACTCATAAAGTCATTCACAATCTGTTTCCTTCTCTTCTGTTACTTTAGTTCCCAAGTCTCCTTTATAAACATGCTCTTGCCAGAGTATGTTGCTGGCAGTTCCCCCATAAAGATCTGCAGACCTCTGTGTATGTTATCCCTCTTCTTGAGGTCATCTGCCCTCCTCCTTCATCTCCCTTCACTCTGTTAGCAGGTCTTCACTATCCAGAATTCAGTTTATTCAGCACATTTTATGGGAAGACATCGCCTGTATTTCCAGACTGGGTGAGGTGTCCTTCTTGTGTGCTACTGTTACTTTTTGTATGCCTTCACCTTAACTCTTTACAGCAGGATCAGAAAATCAGTCCACAGACCAAATACCTCCTATCACATGTTTCGGTAAATAAAGCATTATTAGAATACCACATTTATGTGTTTATGCTTTGTCTATGGCTGCTTTTGTGTGACACAGGACAGAGTTGAAAAGACTGAGTTGTTCACCAAACCTCAAATAAT